AAGGAGATTACTTATGCCGTAGATATTCATCGCAAGGCTATGGAGTTAGTATATATTTAATAAAGAGCATTAAATACTAATATAATTACACGAATTTTCTTGTACTTGAAGGTTCACGGATTTTTTAATATCAAATTTTGAGGGATCATTCTTCTTCTTGATAGCAATCGGCGTGACTTGTCTTAGCCTTAATCTTTTTCGGGTAAAATATTTAATCGTAATTTCATGATATTAGAATTTTATGAAATAGTCAAGAAAATAAAAAGAAGTGGCTAAACGCTTTTCTATCTATAATATATTTATTGAAAACGATAATTCATAAAAATAATGGTTACCTAATTTTTAAGATACTGTAATTGCTGATTATATGATGTATAAGCTAATTAAATAAATTAGCAATAACTAAATAAAAACTTAATATTAAAACTTTTAATTCTCAATTATTTTTAATAATTCAATATTCTGATCCGATGACATATCATAATCTATTGAAATTTTATCATGCAATATATATAGAACACAATATGATTTGATAGTGCGTAAGAAGTCGATAGCAGATGCTTAATGGACGTATCACATTTTTTAGCTTGCGTCATATAGTGATGAAATTGATAAACTTCTTATACCTTTTATAATAATAAACATCCTCTACGTGTACTTGTTCTTAGCCAACCATACTGCGCAAGAAATTACGGATCACAACGAATATCTATTTGCCACAGTGTAAGAAATATTTCCATCATTTTGTCATACAAGAGTACTCGTTTTGTAATAAAAATCTAAATTATAAAAAATATTACAGTAAAAGTATTAATACGATTCGTGGAACAAATACATTTATTATTACCAAATATTTGTGTCTCATTATAGAACTAGCAATTGTTATTATTTTGTAGATACAACGTTCAGTGGTACACAGCTCCGTTACATATACAGAAAATAATATTGTTTCTACTGCAAAAAGGCACGAAACCTTTTTATATAAATCTCGGTGGAATATTTGTGGCGTCTCTAGAAAGTGCGGCTATGGTAAGAAACATGTATCACATGTTGTATTTTATAGTAAGTTCTTCTATTATCTCTGAGAATATTATTTAATCGATAATAACATTAACAATCATCATTTTAACCCGTAGTGGTCACACCTCTTAAAAATAACGTAGTGGTCACACTGGGTCCAATGGATTCCACGCAGAAAAACAGTTGCCATTTGCGTTTTTTTTATGTATCGACTCAAATTTTGAACTGGAATTTAGTTTAAGACTTTCTCTTTATAATCCAATAATTTTTTTCTCTTTTTTTAAATTTTATGTTAAAAAAACGCGAGAAAATTTTTTTTCGAGAAATTTAACTTTTTTCACAAAAATATTCATCAAAATTTCAATTTTTGAAATAGAGCAAAAAAACTTCCTGCGTTTTACTCTCAAAATACGTTTAAGAAAAAAATAGCCTGGGGTCCACTGGACCCAGTGTGACCACTACGGTTTAAAATATTCTATTGCTATTTTAGCCGAATCACGCTTTACATCACATAAATCATACAAAAACGTATATTTTCACTATAATAATTATTATTTATAAAATGTTAACTAACAGCTCAGTACAGCTAGAAAATAGAATAAAAGATAAAGGAAATTACAAAATTACTATTGTATTTTTTGTTTTATCATGTCAATAATATTATAAAATTAATAATTAACTTTTACTTCAAAACGTCGTAATTTGATCATCATATACATGATGATAAAAAAAATCGATTATCTAAACGTATTGTCCCCAAATGTTTGGTTAAAGTTCTATTATATTTTTAATATTACTTATTAAAAAATAAGGCAAAGATATATTTTATTACAGCTGATGAGTACTTCAATATCCTATTTTACTGTTCTCTATTCTACGAGGGAGAATTAAGAGTATGAATTAATGACGATAAAATAAAATTAGTTTTAATTTGGAAGCGAGAGAATGAAAAGGGGACGGTGAAGTTGTTTGAAATAAATATTGGGACTATTTTGATCTCGCATTTTAGGTAATCTGTGTTGAAGTATTAGTAATTCTGTGAAGGGAGAATATTATTATTTAAGTGAGAAATCGGAATTCTACATTGTAAAAATTGCAGAATGTTGAAAACGTTGCGTACAATAAAACATTTTTATTATTCAAACTTTATGTAATTATAAAAAGTTTTCTGTTTGTAAATGCAATAAAATTTTGAATGGTTTCATTATTAAATAAAATGTAAAAGAAATTTACTTTATTAGTTTTTTTCTTATAACGCAATCAACTGATACTTTATTTAAATTTTTAATAATGTTTAGTAGTATATATTTCCGATATGTAATTATCTCAAGTAAGGAAGACCGAGGCTATATATATATGGCTCCAGGGGTATGTTGCTTATGTGCTATTTTTTAGTATTTATCTCGAGAAGAACAGTGGTAAAGAAATAGAGAAATAGTTCTTCTAAATTCTAAAAAAGAAAAGCATTACGCGAGTTTCCGTACATTGTTCCTTTCAATATAAATATACTAAAAAATAGCACATGAGCAACATATCCCTGGAGCCACACAGTCCCAATCTTCCGTATGGAGAAAGCCCAATAAAATAACCCGCATCTGCACGACAAATAACTGTTGGGAACAATGGACTATTTAATGAAAACAATATTGATTATTTACGGATAACAGAAACTTCTATCTGTGACACTATATCTTTATATGTAAATAATGTTACCGAAATGTAATATATATTAGAGGTTATCCCTCAAACAAACGTATATAAATTTCGCTTTTAAAATCGTTTAGATTAAAGATACGCATACGAATACGCACTCAATAAACTTTTGCCTGTAACAAACATTTATTTAAAAACGAGACATAATTCTTTTACATATAAGCAAGTCAAGTAACTTTCAGAGATAATAATAATAAATAATTTTATATACTAATATAAAACAATTTGTATTAAGAACAGTATACAAATCTGTAAATGCATACATTTATCCGATAAACAGTCTAACAGTATTCATGATGTTACGTAAGTACACAATAAAGGATTTAACAGTAACTCTTTCATAACCGGAATAAGCCACATGACAGCTTTGAATGCAAATTCCACAAAATGTAGTCATTTTCAAAATTTTTATTGCATCTTGGACAAACAATTTTATTTGAAGATGTCAAAGACATTTTATCAATGTTTCTTTCTTCCATCGAGGAAATATACTCTTTCTCTGCTGCCTTTTTTTATTTTCTTGCTTTACTTTCTTTTATTTGGTAACTTATTTATAAAGAAGGAAATAATGTAATTTCTGACTTTTTTGACAAGGTTTTTTAGTTTCTAAATTTTATTTTGATAGCCGACTTATATCAGAAACAGTACCATCAAAAGGTTTATATTTTTATTATCATTAGAATCACTTGATTCTTTCTATCAATTTCAGATTAAGTAACGGCTTTCAAATTCACATGCAAATTAGGGCATGTATTTTGCGATCTGAAATCGTGCTTTTCAGCACGATCAATCATTTCTGTCGGCGCAAAGCTGTCATCATTAATCTATATGTACATAATGAAACATTATATATTCTAATATATCATTAGACTCGTAAAAATGTCAACAAATTAATAGACGGCGATACGAGTCAGGCGCAGTACGTGGTGCGCAAGTAAAGAAATTAATAGTTACAGAAGTAACGAATTACAATGTATATATATACATATATTTCAACTCAATAAACTGCGCGCCGATTTATTTGTCGGACTTGAAACACAGCTATC